AAAAAAACAGCGACAGTGTTTCCATAATTATAGCAAGTGCCTCTGATGATGGTTGTGTCAAACCGAAACATGTAAGGCAGAAATAATAATAAAAAGTGACCTACAAATTGTTACACTTGACGGACTCTCTATTAACTTTGTGACTGACAGTGTAACGGACCAAAATGAAACAATTCAAAATCTTACATTCCACTTACCAAATTCCACGTTCGTTTTCTTTAGCACAGGTAGTTTATCCAAACAGTCCGTCCAGGTCCGAGGTCCTTTGTAACATTTCGTAGCAACCTAATTTTTTACGGTGTGGCGTTCTTTAGCCCCACACCCAAACCCAAGCTGGGGGACCGTCCCGTGTCGGTTGTCCGTGACTGCTTATTCAATATATTCGCAGCTACTCTCCATATTTGGAAGTCATCTCCTCCATCCGCAACCTCAGGACGCACCATGGTGTTCGGTGTTTACGATTTTTAAAAGCACATACTCACTAGCTTCCAAATAAGTTGTTCGTTTTACAACACCTCCATATTTAACGTCTCCTCTTATCCAAAATGGCGACCAAAAGGGTTACAAATTTTGAAACGAATTCTTCCATATTAAGGGATCCTGTAATCAGTAATTATGCACTTCTTCAAGTACTACAGAATTCTCAATTCGAAAATTTAAGAAACTGTTATAAGGATTGTATTGAAAACTTCGTTTGTATTTCAAACAACAAAACATGTGTACCAACACTTCACGCAGCCTAACGCAGAGTGGTTTCTGGATGCTTTTAGATATTTAATTATTACCTCGATTAATATGAAATCATAAATACTTGCAATTAGACTAGTTAGCACATCTCACGATACTGGACACTATTTCACTACACAACACAAATACGTGAGTTTGAAAAGCTTGCCAACGCGTACCCACGTCCTCTACGATCTCAACAAGAAGCCTTGTACTGCTACTGGCTGCTCACGAACCGCGATCGGCGCCTCGGTGACGTAACTAGTTGAGAGATATCACACTTGCTTATCCTAATCAGAATACATCCGAATACATCCGAAAGATGTCACTGTCAACAGGAGACAGTGGTGGCTTTGCGTATTACATCCATTCAGAATGAAGGAATGTGATACACACATACTTTCCTAAATTTCGGTAGCAGTACCATCTGTCACGAATTTCAAAATGCAGTGAATATTTTATACAAACATTGTCTAACTGTTATTTGGTCACAGAACGTAGGTTCTTACTTCGAGCGGTGAACAGAAGTTTTGAAAACGAAATACTGAGCGCAATTTTCAGACATAAGAGAGTTATATGAACATAAAAATGTAGACAATTAAATAATTCGAGGATTCATTGTTTATGCACTCGCGCATAACGATAAATTAACTTCCATGTTTTAAGGTTTAAGATGTAATCCGATAGATGTTCACCGACGTTTTGGAGAAAGGCACTCAATCTTTAAGGTCGAATAGTAAAGCAAGCAAATAACCAGCAAAAAGCAGACAGCAAGAATATTTACTTCTTGTGGGTTACTTAGTTGCCTTATTCTATAAACATTTAATATAGGACGGACGTTTTTCTAAAAAGTCGAACTTCTATCGGATTATACCGCATCACATCCAAGACGATAGTATTATCCAGAAGTATTGTAGTTCTCCTCAGACTTATTTTTGGGTTATTTAATGCAGCTCTTAGAATATTGTATAGTGACCAATGGTAGGATCATTATGAATGATGAATCCGAAAGGATGTAGAAGGAAGCAGTTGTATCCTGTTTAAGCTCATTTCACGGAAATTGTTTGGGCAGGTTAATGATATAGGAGAGAACGCTCTGGACTGCCTTTAGCTGGTTAGTGTATTAAACTATACCCCTTTCGAAAACTGCAGGCTAAGTAGGCATAATGTGGTGAATATTATGACGTTCAATGTGAAATTTTAGGAAGATTATGAATGAACGACGGATAGAGAGACAGAGAGAGAGAGAGAGGAAGGTGAAAGAGAGAAATGTCACAAATTATTTCAAGCCACCACCCGTTAATTCATCTTTATTTACGTACAAGTTAAATGTAGGTGAAAAACAGAACATGTAGGATGAGTTCGATTCGAATAAATAACCCACCGAACATGGGAATGATAGTGTCCTAGACCAGAGTATGACGTGACTTATGATGCGCGTGTCTTGTCATCCCCAAACAAGAGAACAGGAGACAGGGTCAGAGTCAGAATCGGAGTCAGAGTTAGTTTACGACTGGCGGTTTACAGCCAATCAGTTCGTCTTGGCGACAAGCTCCTTGAGACCTACTGCCAGAATTTTTATTTTCAAACTGAACACTTGCGGTTATAGTGCTTATGTAACATCAACTCTTACGAGAAGATGGGTCTGTCGTTTGCAATTGCTGCTGGTCCTCGCCAGAGCAGTCATTCTCTGGTCCGAGTCCCGCGGGTCTCATGACCACATTTTACTGTCTCATATTCGAGACTCCCCCAAACTGCAGGGCAAGGTCACTGTATTTATATCCCCCAGGACCAGGGTGGGTTCGATTTTACCCCCAGGCACTGGGTTTCCTTTTCATATCCTCCCACGACTCGAAGGGCTATGATGGCATTATTCGACCCCGCCTCCACGCGGGATCAGGGGGAGACACTGCCTGCCATTGACGCTATATAGCCTAGCTGTTGGCTGTCGTGAAAGAACCAACAACCGTCCTCCACCCATTCAGACAAATATGCAACCTCTATTGGCACCAAATGTAACCAATGAAGAGGTTGTGGTTTTGAGAACGTTATATATTGTAGCCTGCATGTGGTCACTCAAGGTTTTTCTTGATATCCATTATCATCATACCTCTGCACGCTCTGCACTTACATTCCTTTGATGGCCCTTTATAGTTTACATAATCGTTATAATTTAAAAAAATATCCGTATCCTCTAATTCAGTTAATCCTATGCACACTCTTCAGTATCCCATTCATCATCCTTTCATTAAGTATTATAATACACTTTTTTAACTCGTAGGACCTAATATAGACTATTGAACTATTGAAGGACGCAGTCCTCACAGTGCTAGGGACAGTTTTATGGCTCATCCCTCATACTCATAGTATTTGAAAATCGAACTGGTGACGTAGGTTACTAATCTCTGGCATTTGCTGTCTGCTGCTTGCAGTTATAATCGTTGTTAACTGTCGCCGGAGGGAACCAAAATAAGGCCGTTTTTTTTCTGCGTAGAAGAATGGGAAGAGTAGCAAGAGCCAGCAATGTTACTGTAAATTGACACGAAGCGTAAGAAGGTGGGTAAAATCGGTTTAATAGTGTTTTTGTATTAGTGTAAATATAATTGTAGATATATACGGTTTCAGCCAGCAATGTTACTGTAAATTGACACGAAGCGTAAGAAGGTGGGTAAAATCGGTTTAATAGTGTTTTTGTATTAGTGTAAATATAATTGTAGATATATACAGTTTCAATATTAATATTTTGTTCACTAAATTGATAACATTTTAGAAATGTTTGTAAATATTATTGCCACTATGATGGTAGCATGTGCATTAAAATTCACATTGAACATGAGCAGTCTATGTCTGTTGTGCATCGGAAAATTGTCAGAAGAGTCGCATGAAGGACGTTTCTGCATTATCATCATCCTTCTCCTCTTCCATAATTTTCTGGGTCTTTATAAGCATTATATCATGGGGATTATATGAGAACCCAATCTTTAAACGTGTACATTCCATTTTCTTCTGCAGTTTAGGACAAATCTGTTACTGATGACATCAGTAACACGGTCAATGTTTTTAGTTTATTTTAGAAATGTTTGTAAATATTATTGCCACTATGATGGTAGCATGTGCATTAAAATTCACATTGAACATGAGCAGTCTATGTCTGTTGTGCATCGGAAAATTGTCAGAAGAGTCGCATGAAGGACGTTTCTGCATTATCATCATCCTTCTCCTCTTCCATAATTTTCTGGGTCTTTATAAGCATTATATCATGGGGATTATATGAGAACCCAATCTTTAAACGTGTACATTCCATTTTCTTCTGCAGTTTAGGACAAATCTGTTACTGATGACATCAGTAACACGGTCAATGTTTTTAGTTTATTTTAGAAATGTTTGTAAATATTATTGCCACTATGATGGTAGCATGTGCATTAAAATTCACATTGAACATGAGCAGTCTATGTCTGTTGTGCATCGGAAAATTGTCAGAAGAGTCGCATGAAGGACGTTTCTGCATTATCATCATCCTTCTCCTCTTCCATAATTTTCTGGGTCTTTATAAGCATTATATCATGGGGATTATATGAGAACCCAATCTTTAAACGTGTACATTCCATTTTCTTCTGCAGTTTAGGACAAATCTGTTACTGATGACATCAGTAACACGGTCAATGTTTTTAGTTTATTTTAGAAATGTTTGTAAATATTATTGCCACTATGATGGTAGCATGTGCATTAAAATTCACATTGAACATGAGCAGTCTATGTCTGTTGTGCATCGGAAAATTGTCAGAAGAGTCGCATGAAGGACGTTTCTGCATTATCATCATCCTTCTCCTCTTCCATAATTTTCTGGGTCTTTATAAGCATTATATCATGGGGATTATATGAGAACCCAATCTTTAAACGTGTACATTCCATTTTCTTCTGCAGTTTAGGACAAATCTGTTACTGATGACATCAGTAACACGGTCAATGTTTTTAGTTTATTTTATGCAATATGTATTTGATGATATTGAGTATTCCAAGAATAAAAATTTAGCAGGTTCCTAAAAGCGCTGTCAGTGTAAGTTATTCCTCCTCCCACACAGCAATTTTCAGAAGTTGCCAGTCAACACAGCAAAGGAAAGATTTTCTGTTTGTATGCAGTGTGCAGGACACAGACACTGGAAATTAATGTGTGTGGTCATACTGTCAAGCACTTTTGTTGTGAACATATGGACACCCTCTCATCAGTCCTCATGCTTAGCTGCCGCGTATTAACATTAATGGCACTGTTATAACAGTGCATGAATGTGGTCCAGCTGGCAAATTTCACATTTTTTAATACTAATACTGTTGCCACTGTGATAAAATCCTGTCAGTCCCACGGTACTTGGGAATTTAAAATCACCTATTCGAGCAATTATTGTGTTTTTGGACATTATCTATCATCCTGTTCTTTTTATTTAAAACACATCGGTTTGAAGACTGGATTCTGTCTCCATCCTCAGATAAAAGTGTACTCAGCTGGGTCTTAGTTCCTCTCTCCAAGGGACTAGCTGTATTGATTTGCCCCAGTGGAGAAGACATTTGCCTGGAGACGGAGACAGAATAAAAAACAGGACAATGGATAATGTCCAAAAACACAATAATTGTGTTGGTGTACCATCGTCACCATAATTCAAGGGTGAAAAATTAATGTTGGTTTAGTAAGGGTTTTTTAAGTTTGAATTTTTATGTGTCTTGAAATTAATTCAATTTAAGAAATTTTGTTTATGTTATTTAGAAAAATATTAACATAATCCACTCTTTTTGTGCTAATACATAATTCCTTTTGGCTTCTTTTTACTTCTTAAGTACATTGACTTTGGGTTTTCCATATTATGTTTTCTGGTAGAGGTTTACTGATATTTCAGAGGAATTTACTGTCTCCATCTTCATGGTCAAAAAGTAAGCTAAGGAAGCAAGTGGCGCAAATGGAGTGTGGGAAAAGTGGTGCAGGTATGGATGGGTATGAGCTTCAGGTGAGCCAGTTGCTGTAAGGAGAAAAGTAGTAGTGGCACTTCAAGGGGAAATTTTGTGTTCCAGGAAAGAGGTTGGCAAATGGAACACTTTTTCCATGCTCAGGTTACGCTGCTCACTTGGTTTTGATCTTTGACCCTGAAGGTGATAGCACGAGTATGTTTGTCCAAAAGGTAGTGATTTTAACCAGACTACATGGTGCAAAATCCCAGAAAGTGGCCCTCACAATCATCACCGTGAGAATATGAGTAAAAAGCACACCTAATGGGGAAGTTGAATCTGTTATCATTATGTTCTCCCCATAAACTCACTTATTAAATTGTATGTTGAGGGATTAATGCCTTAAGTGTTCTAATAAACTTGGGTTAATTTCATTGCAGTGTATCTCATACTTTACATCAGGCATGTCCACCTTCAAACAGGTTGTGATCAACTTTTTACTGTCAAAACTGCCAGTGATCTACCACCTCATCCTATCATCATACCTCGCTCTAAGCAAAAATATTGGTGAAAATAACATGACACATGATGTTTATTGTAAAAGCAACTAGTAACTGGGCTGTCTCTGATGACTGTAGATTCATCCAGCTGGAGGGAAAGAGCAACACAGTTGGAAACATGTTTCAACAACTGTTCAGTTATGTTTCCACACATCATTTCTAGTGAATCATGCGTTCTGTCGATCACTTTTGCATCAGCACATTCGCAGCTAATGACAAGTGATGAAATAGGAGTTCACGTGATAAGGATAGAGTAGGGACTTCCCCACAGTTCACTTAACACAAGTGTAAACCAATTTTCATGTAAGCTACATAAGAACAGAAAAATAGGAATGACTAATGTGTATTTTCCCTTCAAAATCTGAATATAATCATATTATATCACAAGTGAATTTACATGCTTTTCACGTATAATTTCCTTGTAGGCCTATGAGATTGACCAAAAATCGTCCCACGATCGACGCGTTGGACCTGCCTGCTTTACATTATGCCACATAACCAGAAGTAATCCAAGGCAACCGCATAAAAGAGAAAACAGCTTTATACTGTGCAGCAGAGTCCTTAATCACAACAGCCTGTACATGTGAAGATGGTCAGTTGGTCCGAAACACATAGTGTCAGTAAAAAAAAGTGATGAGTAAATAGTAACTGACATTGTACGTAGATGGTATAAAATCAAAACGCAGTCAGATCTGTGCAGTGAATCAGGATGCTGCAGTATAACATTTTTAACAGTGCTGAATATTGAAAATTTTAAACATAATTTGACAGAAATTTATAAAATATTTAGAGGGGCAACATTTGTGTGAATATGTCATACAGGTTACAGATTGTCCTATTTATTAAAATGTCAAATTTAAATGCATTCACAAGCCACTGTGACCCAGTCTGTGCATATTAATTCTTATATGCCTGAGAGTTGGCTTACTCTTGCCAGGGGAGACCT